TGGCACGCACACTCAGTCACACGCGCGCACGCACACACACACACACACACACACACACACACACGTGTATACCTGGCTGAGGTGGAGCGCTAAGCACAGCGTGGCTGCCACGGTGTCCACATCTGCCTCCGGACCGCCTAGCACAGCATGGATACACTTGTCACTCCACCCCTGGAAAAGACATACACACACACACACACACACACACACACACACACACACACACACACACACACACACACACACACACACATAAGTACGCAAATACACACATACAAAGGAGATGGGTTTCGGTAAACAATTATGCGTGGATGCGGTGATACTCAATCCTGTCATGTCACCGATATTTGACAGGGATTTAATACACTATAACGGCTGAGTAAGATGAACCCAAGTACGCAGGAATAAAGATGTCTTTATTGATGCTCATGGGGAAAAAAAACACGCACTAACAGCAAAATAAACTTGGATTAACAAATACTTAATACTGATGCTTAAAATAATCTTAAAACTTATTGAAATACTGTTCAGTTGGTATGTGCCTCTAAGGCCTGGTGGGGTAGGGTGAGATGTTGGTGAGTCTACGTGTGAGTGCGTAGCGTGAGTGTGTTTTTGCTCTGCCGGCTCTCATCAGTGACTGTGGCTCTCCTTTCCCACATGTGAGGACATTACATTGAAGAATTATTCTGTAAAAATGCAAAATAAGAGAGTGTCTGCTGCATGTGCCACATGCACAGATCCTCTGTATTAATCAACAGCGTGACTTGGTGATGAAGTGCTGTCTCTACCAGGAAAAACATAATCCAGTTTTCTGTTTTTATGGAGGCCCAGAATGGAAAACTTGTAGCTCAAATAGTGCGCAGCCCCCATCCCCACCTCTTATCATCATTGGAATGAAAGCTGCAGGTGCTAAAAAAAAAAAAAAAAAAAAAAAAAATCAATCAGTCAAAATTGAGTGTACGTGACACAATGACGCAAGCTCACTTCTGCTTCGATCAGATGTTTGCGAAGCGGGCCGAAAGGGAGGAAATGAAAAACTGAAGCGTGAGAAAAGGGAATGATGATCAAAGCGAGGAATGGAATGATGAGACGAAAGGAAGCGGGGCAGGAAGTTTAAATAGGCTTTTAAAACGAAAGTAGGTGAGAACGTGCGTGGAGATACTTTGTGTGGAGATACTTAGTGACCAAAAGGCTGGGAAATGGATGCAGAAATGTGATATGCGAAAATAGGAGGATGAGGATAAAGAAGAGAAGATAGCGAGAGGGAGGACGAATCAATAGCAGTCGGCCAGAGAGAGGAAGTGAGGCATTAGTGGCGGAGCGTTCTACTTAGCGCCTTTTCTGCTCTGTGAACATGTGTGTGCGCATGTGTGCCAGCATTCAGTCGAGAAGAACGGACAAATCCAAGATATGACGTTAGGAAATGCAGTTGATACTTTCGGACTCTGTCTCATAAAAAAATCCATATCAGTCTGGCCCTTAGCTGTATGCAGTGCTGTTTTTGTGACTTTAAGGGGCGTGCCCAGATGACTGACATCAGGAACTTGGCCATGTGGTGTGCTCTGCAGCAGCTTCTTGCGAGTGTTCTCATTTTCTATTCGTATATGTGTATTTGTGTGTCTGTGACTCTTCAAACCAAAATATGCGGTGTTCCAGGCTTCCAACCACACTTCAAAACTTGAAGAAAATCTGAGCGCTGAAATGAAAATTCTTTTTCGATTTTACACGGAATGACCCTCGTACGTTTGCAAGAATGAACGTGACGAGCGGAGCCCACACATTCTCCGTTCCTTGCGCTCTTATCGCAAAGCCTCCCGAGTTAAAGATGTAATCAGATCGCTCCAGGCGAAAGGGAACAATGCTGGAAGTCTACTCAGCACATTGTCTTATCTGCAGAGCGAGACACACACGCTTCGATAGAGTTTGTGTGAGGGAGAGGTAAGACTCGGGGCAATTAGGAGTATGGATGCTCTGGAAGGTGGCCATGCACAGAGCACAACACCAATGACAGAGCGGCCTGCAAAGGCACAAATCATCCACGCTTATATTCAAATACATGGAGGACAAAAACAAAACAGAAGAAACTTGATTAAGCCTTCCTATTCATCGGCATGTATTCCCCAAGAATATAATGAATCGGTGGGTGAGTGGTTAGCACAACTGCCTCAAAGCTCTGAAGTGGGTGCAGTTCGAGTCCGTGCTTTTTTTCTCCGGATGCTCTGGTTTCATCCCACGTTGCAAAAATGTGACTTTTAGGTTAACTCAACACTCTAAATTGTCCACAGGTGTGTATGCGATGGCGAACGGTTGTCATGTGTGCAATGCGATTGGTTGACGGCCAGCTCAGCTGGAATTGGCTGAAGCACTCCTGCGACCCTAGTGAGGATAAGCGGTGTAGCAGATGGATGGATATTCTTGGACTACGAAATAAAAAAAACGCAAGATGGTGTTTGGATATTTTGGAGGAGCTTATTGTGAAGCATTTTAGAAAGAGGAACGTTGATGAGAGAAAGGTAAAAAGCTTGGTAGGTGGGCAGGTAGCGAGTCAGAAATTAGGTTGGTATGTCGGTTGGTTTAAGTCAGAGATAAAGATACACAAGTGCTTAAAAAGAAGCTAGGTTGATCAATAAGTTTGGACTTCCTGTTTTTGTGTCCTTTCGCATTGGCCATGTTTTGTAAACAAAGGCCTTTCAAGATCATTTGTTTGACAAGAAGTAAAGATGCAGAAGGCTGCGGTAGCGCGTGGCGCTAGCTAGCGTACAGTACGCTTGTCAATTGAGATGACAAAAAGTTGAATGTGTGCGATGTTTTTACATTATTATACAGTAGACAGGCTACAACAATTCAATGCTGAACATCTTGAGTATCTCATCACAATTTGTTCTGATGCAAGGGCTCTCAAACTTGAGAAAACTTGAAAAAAAAAATTCCAAGGACACCCTCATGGTAAATCCCGATTATACATAACTACCGTTGCTTGAAGACACGTAAAAAATTAACTATTTTTGAAAGAAAAAAAATTTTGCAATGTTCTGACGACAAATTCGTATTTTTTAGAGGAACAAGAATTGTAATGTTGCGAGAATTGAGTAGTACTTTTGTTTTTATACCTTTTTCTCCTCCAAAATAGGATCTTATTCCGACAAAAGATTAGTTATTCACTTATGACGATACTGTATCTCACAATCATAACACAGCTTTTAATTAGCCCAAAGAAGTAAAGTCAGCCTCAAACGTGAATACTTTAGAATCCAGTTCAAAAAATATGTTTTCTTCCCGATAGAAATGATTGAAGTCTTGTGAAGCATTTGTTAAATCTTTTTTTTTCCTGCACTGTACTTACACTCTTTTAGTAATTTTAGAAAACTACCTTTGAAATATCTTTAGTTATTTGGTTTGGAAATTCATTTAAATGTTTACTTGTAATTATGTGAAACACATTGAGTTACCTTGTGCAGGAAATGCACTGTATAAATAAAGCTTGTCTTGCCTTCCCAAAGGTAAGATAGGGGAGACATTATTGTTTTTTTTGTGCTTCTTTTATTAGTGCGCCCTTTCTAATGTTGAGGTATGCACTTTTTTATAACAATACAACATAACGACATTTTTTTTTTTGCAAATTATTTTGCGGACCCCCAAGCCACAGCTCTCTTGACTCAAGTTTGAGAACCATGATGAGTGCAATGCTTGCATGCAAGGATAGGATGTATTGGGTGTGGGGGGCTTAACTTGTTGATGTCAAGCCTGAAGGGGTACACAAGCCTCATCCTTATCTAACCATGCAATGGTGCTATGTCTGACGACAGGTGCAGCAACAGGAACGAAGCCTGTAGCACGCACAAATAGACACACCGGAGGCTTCTTTTCTGCGTGGAGGCTCGCAACTCACCCCTAGTCTGCAATCCACCCTCCGCAGATAGTCGTCCATGTCGGCCTACGTCGGCGCGGTATGACCGTGGAGCTCCACATAGGATACACAACAATTCAGTTCAGGATGTTTATGTGGCAGGACGTGTTTATGCGCGTGCGTAAATGTGTGTGCGCGTATGCGTGCGTGTGCGTGCGTGTGTGTGCGTGCGTGCGTGCGTTTGTGTGTGTTGCGGAGTGGAGTGGAATTCACCCCCCGCCCCTCCCACCACCGCTACGCTCTCACTGCAGCAGTGCCTCTGCAGCTGCTGGCGCCGCCCCTTCTCCGTAAACTGGCTGGGTGTGGATAATGACCGGCACTAGTTGTTTCGGCGGAGGTAGACGCGCTTTGGCTTCATCTTGTATTACGACGCCTCGCGCGTTACAGAATTTTTTTAACCCACGTGCGTCCGTCATTTTGACAGCGAAACTGCAAATTGGAAGTATCTGGCAACGACTGTACTTTTGGTTATAACCGACTTATCTATGCGTCGGGCGGTCGATGAGTTAACTAGCTAGTAGGAAGGAAGGAAGGAAGGAAGGAAAAGAGATAGGGAGGTAGGTCGGTAGGAAGCATACATCTCTTAACGTAGTCCGATCAAGACAACTGTTTTAGTTTGCTCTATTTCAGCACCATAGACAGCTGCAAGAAATTTGAAAACTCAGCCACAATAATATTCCATTAGACAATAAAGCCTTATTGTAATTGTCAAAAACATTGTTGAGGTTATAATCGGGTCAGGTTCAGGTAGATTGTGTCTTTCTTGGAATGCACGGAAGCCTTAAAGTTTTTGCTGAAGCGGGCAAGATCGGCGTCTGTAAAGCATGATGAGCGGAGAAGGATGTTTGTTAATGGAAGCTGCATCAGTGCGGCAACACTGCTAGCACAGTTTTGGACAGTCAGTCAATCGATATCAAGATTCTGCTGCAATGGCAAGCAAAGCAAGATGAAGTGGAGAATTGTTTGTTTAAAGAGTACCATACTCTCCATCATAAAATTCATTCATTTAATCAGTCAGCCAGTCTGTGTTACTTAGTACATTAGACACTTTGCCGCTCAGTGAATTAGTCAGTGTATTTGTTGGCCAATTGGACCATTTGAGTGATCCATGTGTTATGAAGTCAATCAATGAGTAAGTACAGTAAGTCATTCATTTCACCACTTAGTCAGTCGGGTTTGTCACAAAATGAGTCAGGCAGTTATTTACTCAACTCATCCAGTTTGCTAGTCGGTGATTTAGTTAGTCACTCTGCACAGTTTGGCCTTGTCAGTCAATCAGTTGGTCAATTTATCAGTCAGGTGGAACAGTGGTCGACTGGTTAGCACATCAACCTCACAGTGCAAAGGTGCAGGATTCGATTCCCACTCCGACCTTCCTGTGTGGACTTTCTACGTTCTCCCAGGGGCCTGCGTGGCTTTTGTCCGGGTACTCCGGTTTCCTGACACATTCCACATGGATGGATGAATTTGTCAGTCAGTCAGTCAACCAACAAATAAGTTTGTCAGTCTGTCTGTAAGTTAATCAGTCATTTGGTCATTTGGCCACTTAGACAGCAGCAGTCAGGGACTTTGTCAATCTGTTCATAGTAGAAAGCCACATTTAGAGCAGCTCACAACACAAGGTGGTCTAATAAAACCCCTGCTAATACCTCTGTTGAGGTGTTCTTTTACGGCAAACCTGAGAAGCTTGAACTCGCCCTACGAGTCTTAAGACATCTGCTCTCCGCTATTAAAAGCAGTTTAATTCTTCCATTGGAAACAATAGGCCTCACTAATTGATTTTAATGGTTCTCTGTGCCATGACGCACCCCTCATGAGTCGCAGAAGAGGTCTTTAAGATTATTATTATCACTATAATTGCCATTACCCCCCTCACTTCCCAACGTGCGAACGAGAGGCGGCGTTTGGAGGAACATCTTTGCCCTTAAGCCGAACACATCATTATTATTATTGGAGACGCGAAATAAACAGACACACACACCCTCCACCTTCGCGGACCCCCTCCTGCACCGCTTCATTCCCTCCGCCGCCCTGTGCGTGCAAGCCCGCTGCCGCTTGTAATTTATGCAAAATTAATTGATACATCTTTTATAATTGATGTGCTGTAAACTTAATGAGTAATTTATGTAATTAGTCAATTAGGGATAATTCCGACATATGTTGTGTATGCCCAGAAGGTGTGCTTTACAACCAGATATTTGTCCAGGAGTTTGGCGTTTTCGTGTGTGTGTATGCGTGTTACTTAATTAATTTTGTTATGCAGATCTGCCATGGTGCCTATTTAACAGCCCCCTTTGTGAAAACAGATTTAATATTGATCTTTCCTGAGCATAAAAAGCACCTTTTTTTGGGGGGGGGGGGACCAGCAAGGGCCTCGAAGGGGCCTCTGCAAACGTTCCCGCACGGTGCATAAAAATCAAAACAAAGTGAGAGGAGGAGGAAAAAAAAGACAAGAAAAACACAAAACACTCTGAATATATTAGAAACATTCCCAATAAAATCCCGTTTTTTAAAATATGCCCCGAGCGTCACCTCAGTTGACCTTTTGAGTGGCGTTGTGTACGAGGCGGCTAATTAACCGACGGTGGTTTTTTTTTGAATATTCATACCCGACGCAGCCCAGCGCTCGCCCCTTAATTACATTGTTGGACTTCCTCTCCGAGGAGGCCAAACTCACCAAAGGCTTAATTATTGCAATGTATTCGGGTGGGCCCCCTCATCCACCTCGCGAGAAGACTGTCAAGGACCCCCAGCCATGACACCTGGTCAAAGAAGGATGCGTCTGGTTACATGAAGGTAGACGGGCAAGGGGATAGGGGGGTGGCTCTCCACCGAGAGTCGGCGTGAAGTTTGTTTACATCCTTGTAGGATCCGCCCAAGAGTGTTTGAGCAGACAGACAGCCGCTGGACGGCCCTCTCTGCAATTAATCAACAGCAACGCGCGTGCGCACGTGTGTGTGTGTGTGCGCGTGTGTATGTGAGCTCAGTGATGATGGTGCGCAAAGGAAGACATGATTTATTGTTTGCAAAGTCGCAAAGTGCAGTCGAGCACATTTAAGCGAGGCGGCCATTTGTGTCTTTACCTTTTAAGACCAACAGAAGTATAAATCTAATAAGAGTTGGACCTTCAAAGATATTAATGCTCAATTTCGCTCGATACTGTCGCGTTATTGTCACGTTAATGTCACCCACCAAATGGTAAGTTTCTATGAAGGAATCACTAATTCCCTATTCGGAGTATCAAAAAGTTAAGGCCAGGAATTTGACTTGCAATGGTCGACTTTCTGTTTCATTTCATGCATGGTGGTGGTGGTGGTGGGGGGGACTACGAAGTAAGATTTGGGGGGTGGTGTTGATATGGTATCCATGGTTGTCATCACACTTTTAGTCTTATGTGACCCTCGGTAACTTCTGTTCCGTCATCACACACACACAAATAACACACACACAAACTCAATCAACTGGATGCTTGTTAATCATTTCAATGCTCACTGACCTGAGGTCTCTAAAATAAGCTGATGCATTTTACACTGAATTTTTTTCCCCTCCAAATTTGCGATACATTCCACATTGTACAAGTTCGGGTACACACACCTTTGGAAGTTCCACTGCAAGGAGCATTGTTGTGACAAGGCTATAAGACAAACATAAAGAAAAAACAAACAGTTGGTTGAACTCCAGATTGTGCCATTTCAGGGCATTCAACTTCCACTTTATTAGTTTTGGTGTAGAAAAGTATTTTCCATTCATTCATTTTCTGGTGTTTGTCCTTATTATAGGTCGCGAAGAGGTTGGCTGGAGCCGATCCCATCTGACTTTTGCCGTGAGGTGGGGTAAGGAGAGCCACAAACACCAATTCCAGCCGTTTATTCAATGCCACTATTTGTCAAACATTCAAATGTAAAATGAGAACATTCAAGGAGCAACTTCAACTCCAGCTGCTGGTGTCACTCACAAGGCCACACCCCTTAAAGGCACAGTGCAGTAATTACACTTTAGAAAAAATATTTATTTTACTTTCTAGTCTATGCTTTTGTACAGTACAAGTGTTGTATTTCTTTATGAAAAACACAATTTAAAATGCTGCTGTTTTTTTTGGGGGGGGCCGGAACAAATTAATGACATTTGGATTCATTTTGATGATTAAAAATGTTTCTTGTGCCAATAAAGGATTTTTTTTTAAATACCCTCCACACTTTTCATTTTTATTCATAAGTCTCTCTCACTCTCGCACTCCCCCTCCCACACATCCATACACAACTACCCTTGCGTGTCATTTTTAAAGTGTCTGGATAATAGCAGCGTCACAGACCTGCGGGGGTCTCACACACACACTGAAAAAAAAAAAAAAAAAAACAACTGGAATCGGGAGCATCGCATATGAGGAGGAGAGAGAGACGAAAGTTGGACCACAAGGCTTGCAAGCGGTCAAAGAGAGAACGTCTCCGGCAACTTTTACGCAAGGACTCGCACTTTTACGCACGGCACTTTTACGCAGCGTGGTTGTTGTTGTTGTTGTTGTTTTTTTTTCTCCGAGTGATGTAGGAACGTTGCGAAATTTGCTAACGATTCATTGCAGCTTCTCCAATGGCTCAGACATTTGTGACCAATCTCTCCGTGGGGAACTTACTCTGAGAAGGTTGTTTTGAAGTTAAAAGAGACGAAAGAAAAAAAGGAAAGCGGTCATGCCACGACCAGGGAAAAACTCCTATAGTGACCAGAAGCCTCCTTATTCGTACATCTCCCTGACGGCCATGGCCATCCAGAACTCCCAAGACAAGATGCTGCCCCTGAGTGACATCTACAAGTTCATCATGGACCGCTTCCCCTACTACAGGGACAACACGCAGCGCTGGCAGAACTCCCTGCGGCACAATCTCTCCTTCAACGACTGCTTCATCAAGATCCCCCGGCGGCCCGACCAGCCGGGCAAGGGCAGCTTTTGGGCCCTGCACCCGGATTGCGGCGACATGTTCGAGAACGGTAGCTTCCTGCGCCGCCGCAAGCGCTTCAAAGTGCTGCGCGCCGAGCTGGCGGCGTGCAAGAGCTCGCCCATGTTGCACTACTTCCACCACCATCACCACCACCTGCAGCAGGGCGGCAAGCCGGGCCACCAGGAGCCCTCCGGTCGCCTGCCCCTCATGCACTCGTCGCCGACGCCCTCGCACTTCCAAAGTTACGGGGGCATCGCCTGCGCCCAGCCGGGTGGCTTTAAACACCCGTTCGCCATCGAGAACATCATCAGTCGGGACTACAAGGGCGTCGTGCCCCTCACCTCGGTCATGCACCACCTGGGCTACCCGGTGCCCCCTCAGCTGATGACCTCCGTGTGGCCCCACGTCGGGATGCTGTCTGAGCCTCTGGCACCGTCCCCGGAGTACGCGCCCTTTGGGGTCCCGGCAAAAAGCCTGTACCACCACCACCACCACCATCACAGTGCCAGCGGGCCTGCGCTACCCGCGGTGCCGGTGCCGATAAAACCCACGCCGGCACTCACGTCACACGGTCTGAGCGGAATGTGCATGCCGGCCTCCTCCTCCTCCTCCACCACCTCCACCTCCTCCTCATCCCACCAAGGGGATGCTCTGGAGGGGAAAGGCAACCTTCTACACCCGGCCCTCCTTCTGTCTTAATCACATGGTGGATGACTGCGCCGCAAAAAGAGACACAAAAAAAGGTTGAACACGGTGTCAAAAATATTTGTAGGCGATAGGGTATGGTTTTGTTTGCACAGTTTATTTAACATTTGCGATTTATTATGTAAGTACAATCAGACACGCTGAACCCAAAGAAATGTAGCCGAAAACTTTCTCCCAATTCTATTCTACATTTTATTGAAATCAAATGCATTGCTTGTTATTTTCGCCGACCGGTGTCTTTTTTATGCTTGGTTGTAGCACTGTATTGCTTGCTAAGTATTTGTGTGAAGATTTATAAAGAAGTAACAAATGATTGTCCTCGAGGGTCATTTTAATGATTTGATTCATTTTTTTATTATTAATATGTGCACATTTGGGGACTGAATGGGAAAATGCTGGACATTCCCCTACACTCGAGCACATATTTTTAATGAGGGAATTTGCTGTATAGGAGGCCCATATAAAAATGTATTTGATTTGATCACCGTGATTAGATATCAAGTGTAAAATGATGTTAATAATAATACTGTTGTGCGTTTCCGGAAGTGCACAAGTTAGTTGCGCGTGTTCCCGTTATTTTCCTGAAGTTGGCTACGAGGAAAATATTGAATTTATCAAATGATTACACGGATCGATGATCATTCCATCCTGCGAATGCAAGTATATGTGATCACACAGTTAGTCGTAGGTTATTTTGTGTCTAAAAAGTCGCAGCGTGATGGGCATGATTAAATGCGAGGCATGATGAGGAAGGCTGGCCAGATTTGACTTTCCCTCTTCTACACTCATACACTCATATACAAACACTCAACACCATGGCATAAATCACACACTCCGTGAGGTGGACATTCGAGATGATGTGTGTATGATGTCCCAAATAAATGGATGCACTTCAAACGGCGATCGGGATCAAGTTTGCCCTCTTTTGTTCGACGGCGTTTAAACAGCGGCTTTGAAGCTCGCCTCTCCTTTCTCTGCACAAAGCATCACCAAGAGTGACTTATATTCAAGCCCCGCCATAGTCCCTGCTTAGCATCCCAAAGGCTCCTGGAGACGCCGCCCCCCCCCCCCCCCCAGCCTGTCGCACCAGCCTCTGAACAAATAATTGACATGCACCAGTCGGCCAAGAGAAGAGGAGGAAGGCGTGGGAGTGGAAAAAATTAAAAACCTATTTAGTGTTATAGATAATATGCGGCACACACACACACACACACACACACACACACACACACACACACACACACACACACACACACACACACACACACACACACACACACACACACACACACACACACACACACACACACACATGGCTGTGACCTCTCCTAATGTAGTGTTCGATTAATAAGTTCAAGTTTGGGTCAGCAGGGTGGGCCAGTGATTCAAACTTGCTTTTTTTTGTTCGTTTTATTCCTTTTTTTTTTTTTAGTTAACAATCTGTATAGTAATTTTCTTGAGTTCGTTTTTCATTTCCCCCATATTGCTTTCACACTTGCCAAATAACTTTTTGTAATTTTCATTTTGAAGGGGTTAACTCAAAAATGTACTTTACAAGAATGTGTTCCATGCGGACCTACTAATCTGTTTTGATCAATATTGTATTCGTGAAAAATGAATCAAGCAGCAAAATCCACCTGTTTCAGCCATCTCAGAGGGCAGCCGTTTTGCCAGTTTCTGTGAACTGAAAATGACATCACAGTTGCTCAGGGCTCAGGTAATGACCAATCAAGCAAAAGTCACATGACCAAACTCAGAAAGCAAACGAATTAAACCACAGTATGTTTTCTGAGGTTTAGAAAAAGACCCAATTATTAGGGTTCTTTTGTGTAAAACAGCCCATAAAGTTGGGTCAAATCGACCCATGGATTGACTTTTGGATCAATTTTTCACCCAAATTGCATTATTTTTGACCATGCTATTTTTAGAGTATTGCTGCTTTGGGCAAATCATAATTCTGAAGTGATACCAAGTGGATGGGAAAGATCCCAGTCGCGTCTTTTTCAAAACCTGTCGTGAAGAAAAAAAACAGAATGTTTTTTTTTTTTTTCTTGTTGTTGTTGAGCTCAGTGTCACCCGACATGTCTTGAATGCACAGAGAAAGTTGCAGTATTGAAAGAAAAAAAATCAATTGTCAATATCGGACACACTGAGGTGAATGCCAAGCGCGGAGATGAGAGAGAGGACCTGGTCCCCAATCCTATTCATGTTCTGAAGAACTGCTATTAATAAAGATTGACGAGATTGGATTAGTCGGATTTGTTTTGAATATGTGGACCCCGTTTTTTGTGGACAACTTTATGCAGCCCAGACACACCCAGTCTCAATCTCCAGCGGCTCCAACATAAATTCAATCTGAGACCCCTGGGTTGGTGTCTGCCTGACACTTCTGGGGCTTGGGGTTCGAATCTAAGCTTGCATGCCCAGTTCTCCAGTTTCCTGGGGGTGCATGTGTGAGTGTGTGCATGTTAATTCCCCTCATCAGCAGGCTCTAATAAGCCTCACTGCACTACAGTATAATTAAATGCCTCTAATTAAGACACAATAAGAGGACTAATAATGCAGACATTATTGTCCTCGCTGATCTGATCTGCTCCCTTGAATTACAGTATTGAATATGAAGGTTCCTTGTTTTGCATGGAGATAAATTGTGTATCCTGTAGAGTGGAAACCTCGAAAGTTGAACACAAATGCCAAAAAGCTGGTCGACAATTTCTGTACTCATCAAAAATAATGGAAAGGGAAAGAGTCCGTTGCAGGATCCAACTATAGCAAACACCACAACTTTATTACTCATGAGGAGGAAGCTGCAGCACCTGAAGAAAACCCGTGCAACCAGCGGGAATTGAACCCAGAACCTTTTGGCGGTGACGCAGAAGAGCAAACCACTGTCACACTGTGTTGCCTTTACTTATTTGTACAAAGTCATGTTTCATGTCAACATTTATTAGCATTTTCAAAATGCTACACTTTAAACTCAAATGTAAACATCAGCTTGACAGATGCCATGTCTGTTCTGTATTTGGTGTGCAGATGTTTCTTGGGAAAGGTATTTCCTCAAATTGTGGTCACATAGAGAAACTCCTCAAGTGGGGTCGCACGAGGGGCTGGAGCCGGTTGAAGTTCATTTAGGGTGAGAAGGCGGGGCGCACCCTGGACTGGATGCCATGAACATGCAGACAATACATACCGAGAGACAATTTAGAGTCTTCATGCCTCTTTTGAGAATGCCGGGGGAAGCTGGACGACCTCAACCGACAGAACATTCCGCTCTTCTTTTACCATTCATTTAAACTTAAACTATATTGTACCAAACAGCCAGGCCAGTGACACTTTTCTACTGGACGTCACAATAAATGTCATTTATGTCTCTGTGGTTCTTCTTTTCTCTCTGATACCCTTCTATGATTGCATTAATCCCATCTATGCTGATGTTTGAGAGATTTGTTCAAGTCTCACGAGATGCCATGCACATTTACGTTTGAATGAGACTTTTGAAGTATTTTTCTAGAAACTTGACCCAGGGTTTCAAATTGTGACATTTAGAGCAACTACATTTTGAAATTCTACGATATGTTGTTACGTTTCTCAGTATTAGACCCGAGTACTTTATCCGGAGAAATACTTTAATGGCTAAAGGTCACACTGTATGTCTGTAAACATCGTTTTTTACCAATTGTCATCATAAATTGCTGTTGTTTTCCCATAAAGTGTCATGAATATAGCACAACTGTCAAACAGATGGATCACTTTCTAAAATTTGAGTTGAAAATATGTAATTTGAGCTTTTTGAATGACTGAATAAAACATGGAGGTCAAAGGTGTATCGTGTCACAAGTGAAGCGACATGTGTTGCATCGGCGATGTGTCATTAGCGGAAATTAAGCACACTTCACAAGGGCCAGAGGTGTAACTTCTACATGCGTTGTTTTAATGATTAGGCCATCACAACGAAGATCTTAATTCTTTTTTTTAATCACCTTAACTCATACACGCTGCAAAACACAATTGTTTGGAGATTCATTTGCATGCCATTTATTAACACTCATCCTGAACGGTCTATAACAAAAAGCAGGACTAATATTAACCGCTCCAGCTGCAAGGCTTGGCGAGTCCAACTTTGTTGAAGCGCGGACTTTTTTTGTGGGTGTGCTCACTAGCAACATGCCTACTAAATTTCATGTTGCGAAATGAAATTGGCTTTGGCGCTTGAAATTTCGGGGGCACAGTAATCCACTGGTTAGCACGGCTGCATCACAGTGAAGAGGTGCACGGTGCGATTCTGGCTCCAGCCTTCCCGTGTGGAGTTTGCATATTCAGATCGTGCCTGCATGGGTTTTCACCGGGTACTTCGGTTTGCTCCCACATTTCGAAAACACTCTAAATGTCCTTAGGTGTGACTGTGAGCGCAGGTGTGTGCCCCTCGAGTGGCCAGTTCAGTGTGTCCCCTGCCTACCACAATTTATCAGGGGAAAACTGCATTAGGGTGAAATGAAACACCAAGTGAATATCAGTAGACGTTTGTACGTGAAGTATTAAAATATTTAAGTGTTTAAGCACCAATTTGCAAGACGGTATTTTTTATTGTTAATTGGAGCGTGAACACAAAGTGTTGTCCAAGGCAAGGTCCTCCTCGAAGTCACAGTCGTTTATCTCTGCATCACAAGCGAGCACTTTGGCTTTTATTAGCGTAATAAAGTCAAGCTTCATATCCGCAAAAAGCCTCCTGACCTTCTGGGCCCTCTCACACTCCTTCAATTAATTCATCACATTCATATTCCATCTCACACACGCAATGAGGATGTTACTCCCCATCATGATGTATTTAACAACCAATTATCACAGAGCATTGTTAATATTAAGGCTCGCTGTGTCACAGAAATAGGATCGCGGGGAGAAATATGTTTTGATTAGTGTGTTCACCTGAGTGATTCCTAATTGTTAGATTAGATGAAGAATAAGCACCATATTTTGAGAGCAGTTGACATGCAAATGTGATGTTTCTTTCTCTGAATGCCTGGCAAGATGAAATAATTAGGTCTGGATAATGAATTTTTGGATTAATTCAAGTTTATTTGACAGGATCAGAATCAATTTTTATTTTTTAATAGATTTTTTGCGCCTTAGGTACGCTGATTCACAGTGCTCACTTACACTTAAAAGGTCATAATGCTCAGCTGTATATAGTTACACTTCTATATGCTTAGTGTCATTTTTTTCAGGGCCCAGGTTAAAAAAGTGCAAACGTGTTCCAGCTTTAGCAAAACCTTTGAAAAGGTGGTATTCGTTCATAATATATATGCGACGGAAACACATGACATGGACACGTCTGGGGAGAAAACGTTTTGAGGCTGCCTGTGTAAAGGACAAATGTATGAAAGCAGTTTTTACACTTGCGCAGCTGGGTCTGAGTGGAAACCGTTTTTGTAAGGTACAAGTCATCAAGTTTGAAGCCTTTCCTGATGGGTTTTGTCTGCCTCAAATTATACTGTCCACTGTACAAGAGTAGCCTACAATAACAAAGCAGGAAGAGGCGTTGAAGTCAATCCCAGCGTGCCCTCTAGTGGAAATTAGTCTAAAATCATTCTGTTGACTTAATCGTAGTGCTTGTCCCATACCGATTTTTAGGCCCGATTTGAGCCCCCCGCCCGTCAAAGTCCACCAAGGGACGATTACCCCGATTAGATGTCTGTAAAAGATTATAGGGAGCAATTATTAAGAGATGTGAGATTTATTAAAAGCAGTGTAATGAAATAACATACGTAGATCACCATCGCTAAGTTGAATGCAACTGATTTCTATCAAAATCCTATGTATGCATTGCAGCAAAACTGCCATCACAGTTGCTTGGGACCTGTTCAGAATAAATGGTGATGAAAATGGATGGATAGTAAGGACTGTTTAGCGATTTGTACAACCTCAAGCAGAACAATAATGTGGCACCATTGTTGAAGTTTTGACTAATGACTGATACAAGATGGCGGCTATCTGACGTATAATAGGGCCACTGTCGCTGACTCTATGAGAAAGTTTAGAGAAGGGACGACGCACCACCACTCAAAAGTCCGATCAAAAAAATGTGACAACGCCATCTTTCTTTCCTCTTTTTTAAAGTACGAAATTTAAACATTTTTTTAAAATCTATATTAATAATTTGTCATTCCCAACCAGCAAAAGAATGAAATTGTATCAGTAAGATTCAATTGTAACTACATAACAAAAAATACTGTACTTTTGCAAAATTAAAAAAACATCCATCATTTCAAATACTTTTGCAAAATTAACAAAAAACAGACATCTTTTCGTGTCACAGGTTGAATTTAAGAATTGCACTAAATTGTCATTACATAGATAGATAGAGAGAGAGAGAATATGCAACTCGCTGCTGTTTGTGTCATGGGGATGACATCACTGCACTCTGATTGGATGCTTTGGAAAATAAAGTTTACTATGAATCTCGGTTAATGCTGTGACATCATAAATGCATCAATCAGGTTGAGTTTTCTTGAATTAAACAATTAAATGCATAAGACGTCCGTGTGTTGTGATTGAGTCGGATATCAGTGGAGAAGGTACAACAGTCCAGTGGGCGAATAACATCGCAGGTTGCCACAGACGTGTAGTGTCACGACCCCGCCCACCAGTACGTACATTACGTCGGTCAAAGCGGAAGAGAGTCAGACATCTGAATGTAAACATGGTGACAGGTAGATGAAAAGAGCTCCAAAATGGTCTTCGAAAGCGTCGTGGTAGACGTTCTCAATAGGTTCCTGGGTGACTACGTGGTCAACCTTGACAGCTCGCAGCTTCAACTCGGTATATGGGGAGGTAAATTAACTCGTTTTGTGTATTTTTTTAATAGAGGCGGTGCCATTATGCCCCGAGCTAGCGTGCTAGCGTCAGATTGACGTTAGCTTGTAGCTCCTCTGGCTGTCATGTGTCAGTATGTCGACCCCTCTCAGATGGGCCAAAGCAGTTCGACGGCACTCGAATGTCATGCCGAATGATGTTACTACATGAGATAAGTTAGTGGATAGAAGTTCTCTCAGTATATGTGGTTTTTCAAAGACAATTTCCCGTGCAAAGCTAAATGCTGTCGTTACTGGGACGAGTTTCGCAGGATTAATAAGAGTCACACCCTTTCCCATTTTGTGAGTTTAAAACCAAGAGTCCTGCATACGAGCAAGATTCCTCAAATATATTCACATCGCATCGTAATCTTCTTCCATGGCTACGCTTTGAATCGCTATTTAAAAGAGGTTCTCGTGCTCTGGCTTCCTCCCACATTCCCCAAAAATATTAATTGCTGGAGTGAATGGCCATTAGAGTTGATCATTGTTGTTGTATTGACAATAGTGAGGATAAGCGGTATACAAAATGGATGGTATAGAGCAATTTAAAAAGCTGAAAATGTTTTCATAAGTGAGCAATTCTGCACTTACCCACTTTAACAAAACCTTGGGGCAAATCAACATATTAATTCTCCACACCGACTTTCTAAGCCAATGATTTGTCAGCTATGCTGACCAAAGTGAAACATCCCTTTGTCGTGTTGGAAGCACTACCATATGAAAACCAAAAGGCAATGGAACTGCTGCATGATCAAAAAGTAACTCTAGATTCTGATAATAATTTTAAAAATATGTTCCATTGTGGTTAATTGTTTTGGGCCATGTCATGCTTGACCTTGACTGTACGCTACTGGTAAAAATGTGTCTGACTCTTGCTCTTAGACAAAATGATGCCACGGGCATGTTAATAATACTTTTGGGAACGTGGACACTGTTTTAATTGTGAAAAGTTGCATGCCATAACATGTCCTTTAATACTGTATTTTGTGTTGTGATGATTTTTTTGTGGCCTAATTGTGTCCTTCATCTTCTAAAGTTGATACAAAATCAACAATGCCTTTGCCTCTTGGGGCAATCACGGTACGGAGTGCTGATTGTCTTAAATAATGCACAAGCTTGAAAGCAAGTCGATGGGATTTAATGTCCTTCTTGTTTGATAGTGGAAGTGTTTTTTAGGCCCTTTATTATACTGGAGTAGGGTTCGCGAGGGGGTTTTCACTTCCCCCCCAAATTCTTCCGGCTTCCACTTTTCTTCTACTGACCTTATTTAAAATAAGTTTTGAGATATTTTTTTCCTTCATGACAGGTAATGGAAGAATAATTGCTTACATTTGGGGGGGAAATACCCCTTTTGCTGAAACATACAGGAAACAAAAGCGCTCACAAATGAACATTTTCAGTATTCAACTCTTTAATAACCTAAAAATGAGCCATCAGTTGCATCGCTCGGCACATACCTCGAGTTCAAACCTTTCGATGTGGACAAATAACTGCTTTTGCAATGCATAAATGGGCACCATGTCTTTGGCAATGGTCAGCGCAAGTGACTCAGCGATTTCCCTCCAACAGGCTCCTTTCTTGTTATATGTAAACCAATGTGAAAGTGATTCTGTTTATGTTGTCGATCTCTTCACGGGTATTCGATTTTTATGTATTTTTTTGTTTACAGGTGATGTCGCGCTTCGAAATCTTGAAATTAAGGAGAATGCTTTGGTAAGTTGCATCCCTAAAATGCATGTGCTGGAATATAACATTTATTTATCGACCTATCTATTCATTAATTTTTTTTCCCTTCTCACAGAGTCAGCTTGACATTCCTTTTAAAGTGAGAGCGGGACACATAGGTGAGATTGTTTGGTTTTTATTCTTTCTTTCTTTCTTTCTTTCTTTCTTTCTTTCTTTCTTTCTTTCTTTCTTTCTTTCTTTCTTTCTTTCTCAAAGGGTCACATTTTTTCATCACTGGTTTTATCTCAATAGGGCGACTTGAGCTCCAGATTCCCTGGAAGAACCTTTACACCCAGTCTGTGGAGGCCACACTGGATGGCGTCTATCTGCTCATTGTCCCAACAGCAAGTATGTAAGATTTCCCATCGTGAACACTTGTATTTGTTCCAAAGTCCACCACGGCCCCAGGCCAAACCGATGGGCTGCCATCCCCGCAGGTATCAAGTATGATGCGGAAAAGGAGGAGAAGCAGCTGCAGGAAGCACGACAGAGGGAGCTGCAAAGGATTGAGGAGACCAAGCTGAAGATCGCCGAGCAAGGTTAGTCCTCTGTGCCTCGAAACGCAACTCGGTAGCACCCCCTGGAAAGCTGGGGGGAAATCAGCCCTTAGCAGCCAGTTTCACCAATCCATATGAAATTTGGTAAACATTTCAGGATAGTATCAAGGACCTTTGGACATGAGCAGGAAGTCTGTTTTGATTTTATGCAACAATTCTCAACAAATTCCAGGCCGAGTTTTTTTGCCTATGCCATCAAATGTGGTCAGTACGATTAATCTCTAGTAATAGAACACGTTCAAGTTGTTGTGTCCAATTATTTGTCGCTCTCAACAGCTTCACACAACCACTACATCACTACCGCCAAAACATGCTGCACACTCCACACTCTTATCATGACTACTCCTTGCAAGGGATTGACAACCGCTGTCAATAAGAGACAAAACGACCCAACGACTTTTTACGCTTTAACTCCTATTTGATTTGTTTGACAGAGAACCCCACGGCAGAGAAACAGGACACATTTGTGGAGAAGCTCGTCACTCAGATCATCAAAAATGTTCAAGTCAAGATCTCCAATATCCACATTCGCTATGAGGACGATGTGAGTATTTGAGTGTGTGTGTGTGTGTGTGTGTGTGTGTGTGTGTGTGTGTGTGTGTGTGTGTGTGTGTGTGTGTGTGTGTTGTAAAGTACAGTAAATGTTTTATTAATTAAATGTGTTAACCTTTTGTTTTGTTTTTTGTTTTTTTACCTCAGGTCACCAATCCGCGGTGCCCTTTGTCCTTCGGCGTGTCGCTTAGCAACCTCAGCCTTCAAGTAATCTCACTTGACATCCGTTTCATCGGGTTAGATAGTTATTAGGGTTGTATTGTTGCATACAAATGGATGTGGAAATTATTCCGAGCATCATTTCACATTGCTCAAATCATTTTAATTTTATATTAATTTGTTTTGCTCATGTACTGTGCACACTGCATCCCACATTGACATAAAAATGGATTTGATTTTTTTTTTTTGCAGAAGTATTGTTTGAAAAAATAAATTGCTGAACCATGACATTTGGCATGCCAGTTCACCCCCGAATAATATAACCATTGTTGGTTCCCATAGACCTGTGATGAAGACTGGAACCCGACTGTCTTGGATGAGAATGCCAGGCTATTCTACAAGGTAGGACATTCTTTGACAAGGAAGTTTTTGTTATATTATTTAAGTTTGTCGTTGTGAGAGCCTGATGTGAATGTTGTATGTTGTTGGATAGGGATGCATTGCTCTAATTGCTGCTTCCTTCCTCTCAGTTGGTACAGCTGGACAAATTGTTTGCCTACTGGAATGTCAACTCGGTGCTTTTCTCCAATCACAGTCCGGATGAGGCTTTGGTGAGTCAAAACGTTTTTTTGTTTGTTTTAAACTCTTTATAAAATGTTTTTTATGTGTCACAGTCTCTGGGTAAAGAACAAAGATGCATCTTTGGCAGGTGAAAAATGCAATGGAGCTTCTCTTTCTTGGTCTTTTTATAGTTATGTCTCCAGAATAGCCTGGACCTCAAAGGCTCCCATCCTGCAGACCACGATTTCAGTGAGTGTCGGAAAATATTCCCCCCAACTCCAGTAAAAACATATGCCTTTGTGTTTCTTGTGTTCAAAATAAAATAATCATACAGAAGCCAAGGAGAATTTCGTTTTGATATTAACTTAAACACATGGAGCAGTGACACATTAAAACAGAACATACAACAATACTCACAGGCACATATTTTTCTCTGCAGCAACAACAAATTTATAATTTCAACATTTTATTAGCTCACTTCTTCTTCGTGCTGTTAATTCCTTTGCATCTCTTCCTGTACACTCTTATTGTTGCCTGGTATGCCGTGCCTCAACATGCTGCTTCAGACTTGAATGTATTCTGTAAAAATTCATACAAAAGTCAATGTCTGCAATAACTTTGTTGCATGAATGAAGAACCGCCATATAGCCGGCGAACATTGTCATATGAAACCACACCAATGCACAATTCCTTTTTTTTTTTTTTCTGCTGTTCTACAGTTTTGCGTCCCATCTCAGCGGGTGCAAAGCTTTGCATGAATCCCCGGTCAGATTTGGACTTCTCGTCACCTAAAGTGGATCTCATGGTCAATCTCAGCGAGGTGGCAATTGAGCTTAACAAACCCCAGGTAGGCAGTGTCATAATTTGTGCACAGTATTTCAATGACATCAACCTGGCAATGAAGGAGTATGTGTGATGCGTTTATACTGCGCATAGAGCCAATACTTATTGCATTTTTATCCAAATTTGGAAGAGACCTAATGCCAATCAAATGCTCTGTAGTCTACCATGAAGCTGATCCTAACCGCGCAGTTTGTGAGTATTGAAAAAAATCGGCATTGTGTCATTTGAAACATGCAGTGTAAATCAAACATTACAAATGTAACTATGATTCTGTGAATCCCGAATGACTTCCACGTGCTATAAGCACCCCATCTTGCGGTCAGCAGACATAAAATAGAACTGGCCTAAGTAAAGGTTGTCCTGGTTGTCTTTCTAGTACATCAGCATCTTGGAGCTACTAGGCTCAGTGGATTTGATGTCACGTAACCTGCCATACAGAAAATACAGACCTGACGTCTTTGTTCACAAAAATGCCAACATTTGGTAAGAGACTGTTCTGTGATGTGACTACTTCTTTTGTAATATCCCCCGCGAATCAAAGTCTTTTCACTGTGATGTCTACAGGTGGAACTATGCCATCACGAGCGTCCTGGAGGTGGACGTGAAGCCTCGTCTCCACATGTGGTCGTGGCCTCACATTCAGCAACACCGCAAGCTGGTGAAGCACTACCGCGAGCTCTACAAGATCAAGATCACCAGCAAAAAACCCAGTGAGGAACTACTCAAGGAACTGCAGGTGGGCTGACAATTAAGAGTTAAGAGTTGCAAAAGCAGGTTTTCCCCAACCTTTACTCAACCAAGGCACATTCCAATTCTAAAAATATCATATACTGTGAAAAATGGTGCTCTTGTTTGAATATGCTGACAAATGTACTTGCTCTGCAATATTTGGGCCCTTTAAGCATAAAGCTACCTGTACATGCCGAGTATGTTGTATAAATAGCAGCATGCAGATCAGGTTATTTCTACATTATGGCATAGTAAGTTACATTTAAAGTGCATTTCTTTGTTCTGCCGCTCACTTCACATCACTGGCATAAGTCAACGCTTCACCCTGTCAACAATCGTGTGTGTGTGTGTGTGCGTGTGTGTGTGTGTGTGTGTGTGTGTGTGTGTGTGTGTGTGTGTGTGTGTGTCAATATTTGGGCCCTTTAAGCATAAAGCTACCTGTACATGCCGAGTATGTTGTATAAATAGCAGCATGCAGATCAGGTTATTTCTACATTATGGCATAGTAAGTTACATTTAAAGTGCATTTCTTTGTTCTGCCGCTCACTTCACATCACTGGCATAAGTCAACGCTTCACCCTGTCAACAATCGTGTGTGTGTGTGTGTGCGTGTGTGTGTGTGTGTGTGTGTGTGTGTGTGTGTGTGTGTGTGTGTGTGTGTGTGTGTGTGTGTGTTCAGGAGCCGGAGAAGACACTTGATATTTTTAACATCACACTAGCCAGACAACAGGCCGAAGTGGAGGTACAGTAATTTCTTATTATGCCTGCCATTGAATTTGAGATGCGGTAAAAGTTTGCTCATTTTTCATATTTTGTTCATCTTCTCAGGTGAGTAAGGCTGGCTTGCGTATTTACCGTCCGGGCTTGAAGATGGAGGAAGAGGAATCTCAAGGGTGGATCAGCTGGATGTGGAACTGGGGGGCGGAGCCTGACTCTGAAACAAAGGAGGTCAAGAGCACAGGAGGAGGTAGGGTCAAGGAAATGGTGCTTGTCCACATATATCTGGTTTCCTACTGAAGCCCATCCCTTCCATCAATGTATTTGCAAACAGGCTTTGATGAGCTGTTAACTCCTGATGAGAAATCCAGGCTCTACACTGCCATCGGATACAGTGAGACGGCCGCTAATTTCATTTATCCGAAGGATGTGAGTCTCCTCCCACGTATTCCCCAATAATCCACAAATTGCATCTTAAATCCATCCATCCATTTTCTATCGTGGTTGTCCTCTCGAAGGAGCTGGAGCCTATCTTAGCTGACTCACAGGGCACATATAGACAAACGACCATTCACACTCACACTCACACGCATGAACAATTTATAGTGTTCAATGAACCAAATGTGTATGCTGTTAGAGTGTGGGAGGATAGTGTTTATGAGTAGCCTGCCATTTGAAAACAGTGGATATTCAGCCAGCCTAGCTGGTATGTCATAGTAGTCCGAGAACAACTTAACCAACATTTGAGTATGCTCTGTGTCACTTACTAGACGCTAACACTGTACATACGGTAACTCGCATCTATATTTTCTTAGCTTTTGGCGTTTGAGTTTACTGTGATAGTGCTTCTGCGTGGTCCATCTTATTTTCACTGCTATTGTTGTGAAAGTGCCACATAAATAAAGATGCATTGTATTTTGTCTTTTCTAGTTTGAGGACTTAAAGGGGAATTTCCACATGGAAAAACTGAGCGTCTCCATCAAAGACCGCAAGGACAAAGATGAAATCATCAAGTTGACAGTCGGGGAGCTGATATCCTCCCTGACGCAGAGATCTGGAGCACAAGCCATCAAGTATGTCTTATTCATAGACACTTTTTAAATGGCCATTACCGAAAAGTTTGTTCAGTTTTTGTAATAATAAAGAAAAAAATCTCTGCAGATTCACAGCCGAGCTCAGTTTGTTCGAGATCACGGGTCAGGCAAGTAACCGGCCCGCTCCCACCCTCCTTTCGTCCAAGACGGTCGGCACGGGAACAGGAACTCCGCTGCTCAGCCTGTTTTTCGAGACTAACCCTCCAGATCAGACTGCCAATCAGCGGTTCTTTGCTGAATCGCAGCCGCTAGAAATCATCTACGATGCCGTGGGTGCCATCAGCTGGAATTCATTGTCGTAAGTGACAAAAGTGTTAACATGTCTGCATGTATTCTTCGTGAGTGCAGATGACGGTGAATGCCATGGCCGCATTCTTCAGGCCTCCTGACGACCTGCAGCTCGACGAACTCACCAACGCCACACTGATAAAACTGGAGCAGTTCCGAGACCGTACAGCCACTGGTCAGTTGTTTAAACAGCAATCATCTCTTTGAACTCAAATTAGTTAGGTACAGAGGAGCCAAACAAAAATGTCATAGGATATGAAGTGAACACATCTTCACACCGATGGACAATTAAAAATCTTTTCATGAACCTAATATGCGTGTTTTTGAAATGTGGGATGAAGCCGCGATGACATGAGACAAGATTCAAACCAGGAACACATGCTAACCGCTATCCAATCTCTTGCCTCAACGATAACTGTAAAAGTATATTTAAAAATAGAAACTGTATACATCAAAGGTTGAAAGATAGACTTCAGTTCATTAAGATTCTATTGCGTGTGAGCGACATTTACTTGGACTTTTTGTGGATTTTCACAGGGTAACAGTGATGGCAAAGAGCAAAAGATGATCTTAGCTCCAAAAATGAGATGATAACTAGCATAGCGAGAAAAACTATACATGCTACTCTATCCTGGCTTCTCAGGACTATATGGACACGCACATAATTATGTATTTTTCACGGATTTTAAAACAAGTACAGTCCGTACACAGACCTCCACTTCAACCATTCTAATTAGAATCGACAGTTCAGTTTACACCTTGGATCTATAATGAAATATCATTAGTAGCCATCATTCAACACAATCAATGTTATTCAAAAGACACCATCTTGTATCTTTTGTTGCAGGGCTAATGTATGTGATCGAGACGCAGAAGGTGCTGGACCTGAAGGTGAACCTGTTGGCCTCTTATGTCATCATCCCACAGACGGGCTTCTACGACGGCACTCAGAACATCTTGCTGCTCGATCTCGGACACTTGCAGGTGAGGATATGTCAGCAGGGAGTTTTCTTAAAGCTTATTTTAAAAACATACGTTTGTAGATGTCCAGTCAGTCCAAAAAGAACCTGCCTCAGCTCTCAGCGGTCTCTAGCAAACTCGAAGACATCATGCTGAGAGCTTACGACAGCTTTGACATCCAGCTCAGCAACCTGCAATTCCTTTTCAGTAAACCAGGTACAAAATTAGTACATTAGTTTAAAAAAAAAAAAAAAAAAAAGACCATGTCACATTTTTATTTCCTCATTGTGATAAAAAAGCTAGTAT